GCTCATGATCTCAGGATCATGAAATTGAGCTCTGAGTCTGGCTTCACACTCAGCACAGAGTCTGCTGGAGATTCTCTCTCTCTCCCTCTTCCCCTGCACCTCCCCTGGCACACATTCTCTCTCTCTCTCATCCTCTAAATAAATAAATAAATAAATAAATAAATAAATAAATAAATAAATAAATAAATAAAATCTTTTAAAAAAAAATCATGGTAGTAACATAAGCCATTCATAGCTCTGAGTCTCCAGCCCACAGATTTACTGAGCATGCAATGACCCAGTTTCTATCCTTTCTTGTGAGTCCCTGATTCCAGGTATCTGATATGCCATGTTGAAGATGTGTCTTAGTTTGTGTCTTTCCTCACCTGCAGGAGCAGTTGTTGAGAAAGAAACTAGGGAGCAAGTCATTTATTTGGGAGAAGATTGCAAACAATTGTAGGGAGTGGGGTTGGGGATGACAAGAAAAGGTGGCTAATAAAGAGTAATGAATAAATGACCACTTTGGGCAATAGAAGTTTACTCCTGCTGGGAGCTCCATGGGTCGCATGTTTCAGAAGACATCCCCTCAGATGTCCAGAGGTGTGGGGGAAGTGGAGTATTAATATGCTCACTCCCTTGGTATAGGTCAAAAGCTCTTGTGAGGGGGACATCAGTTCCCTGGTATTTCGGACCCATGGCACAGGTGGGAAACCAGCCTCTGGTGGCCAGAGAAAGCCATTGAGCAAAGAGATGCAAAGTTTGGTGGTTGAAAGGTGGCTCTTATTCACTGAGGTGGAAAGAGCAGGAGCTGTAAGTCCGAGCACTGACAATTTCTGTCACACCGTGGAAGTTTCTAACTACTTCCTGTTCTACTGCCTGTTTGTGACAGTGGGTTGCATTGATGATGTCTGCTTGAGCATTCCTCCTATGAAATGACAGCTGATAGCAGAGAAGGCTACTTGCCCACTAAGGCTGCAATTTAGTAAAAGGATCCCCAAAGTGTGGGCACATTCTCTGTCTTCTTAGAAAACCTATCTCCAAGGATTTCAGCACAGAATTTCTAGGCTGGGTTAAATGGGTTAAATGCGTACGGCACCAACCAAATTTCCAAACAAAATCACGTTTGTCTGCTAAAAACACCTATGATCCTGGACACAGAAGGCATCAAGGTGAGTTGTTAACTCACCTAGTGATTCTCTGAGGTAAGTTGGCATGGTCTAGCCTCTTTGCTAGGATCTAAAGCCCAGTTTCCCAGGCCTGGTCCTTGGTCTCAAAGTCCACAGAGCTATCCACTGTCAAGTTCATCAAATGCTGTGCCAGGTCTCTGGAGGTGGGCATGTGGTTTAGACCTCTATATACCCCACATTCCCACATTGCTTTGTATCACTCTGCAATCATGCTGTGGGTTTCTGAAAGATAGTTCTGCTTCTCATATATCTTTGTACTTACCAAGTACAACCTCTGGCACTTGAGAATAGTGAGTAAATGTTAGCTGAATTGACATGCCCAGAAAAGGCAGAAGCATAAAATCTCAGGGTTCCACACCAGATCCTTGTGGTTCCAGATCACAGCTGATCCCGCTCTTTCACCTAGGACACAAGAGCCACCCCTGCATGATCTCTCCGAACACTGCTATGTTTTTGAGGAAACAGGTGGGGTGGGCCACTTAGCTTTGAAGCTTTTGTTTATGACATGAAGAGAACAGATGTCAGCCAAATGAGGCATGAGGGCAGAATATGGCGCTCTAGTCTCCTAGGAGACTAGAGTCTCCTCTACTACACTGTAGTAGAGAGAATGAGGATATGAGTGGAGAGACAGCCTAGAACACTTGGGCAGCTCCAGGTATATTGCTCCACTGTGTCCCTGAACTTCAGAAAACTCGGAATAACATGTCATGAGCATTCTCTTAGTTTCTGAAGAAGGGAGACAATAGCAACAATGAGCTGGTGCTCAGGACCCAGCTCTGGAAGGAAACTTGGAGGTCATCAGACTTACTTGTTTCACTTTTCACTTGAGGACTTGGAGGGCCACAGATGAACAGTAACATACTCAAGGTCACATAATAGTTGGTAGCTAACTATAGAGAAGTTCTTGTTTTGGGAGATGCTTGCGGCTTGCCAGGACTCTCCTTTAAGGGAAGACCCATAAAAGCTCTATATCTTCTAAATATAAACCTAAAGTGTCATATAATCACAGAATATCATGTTGCTAAGTATGTACATGTATAAGTTACATGTAAGTTACAAAGCATGTAACTTGCATAAAGACATCCCTGAGACTAAACACACACACACACACACACACACACTTCTCAATCTCCTTCTGAGGAACTTAAATATAGCTCTGATGCCCCTCTATCTTGGCTGTGCTAGGAATATCCCAGAGATAGTGGACTGGATAATGTGTCTGGGATTAGTGAAGTTCATTCTCTTTCTTTCTCTCTCTCTCTCTCTCTTTTTTTTTCACTTGTGTAGTTATTCTACATGCATCTATCTATTTATGTCTACTGCTGTAAAAATTGCTGAGATTCATAACAGAACATCCCTAATCCAATATGGCTATGCTCTCTATCTTTGGGGAATTTCAGTCAAGAGTAGACCCAGCTTTCAGGAGATGGTATAAAGCAGAGTATGATTAAATGGTAAAACAGGTATTCAGTGCTAGAGATGCTCAGAGGTAGATGAGCTTCCTGGTGGCTGAAGCGAGCAGGGAAGGAGTTATAGAAGGGGTGATGGTGCCAGCCCAGGAAACGTCTGCTTACACAGAGGCAGAGGAAGAAATGAATTCCTTTTTTAAAAAAGATCGTATTTATTTGAGAGAGAGAACATGCGCAGGGGGAGGGGTGGAAGGGGAGAAAGAAGCAGACTCCCTGCTGAGCAGGGAGCCTGACTAGGGATTCTATCCCAGGACCCTGAGATCATGACCTGAGGCCAAGGCAGACACTTAACTGGCTGAGCCACCCAGGTGCCCCAAAGAAATGAATTCTCTGTGATATCAAAGCACAGGGATGGGAGGAGGGCAGAACCTCGGGTACCTACTGCTCCCATCTCCAGGTCAGACAAAGTCAGGGCTCCCAGGCAAATCACAGGGTTGAAGAGAAGACCTTGCCTGCCCCAGCTCTGTTCTCCAGTGGCAAGAATCAAGCTGTGTGTATTGTAAGTTTAAAAAGTACCTTCAGACCTACTCATTACCTTAGGCAGAGGATTAATTAATGCAGAACTATAAAATACAGCACTCAGTTCCTGAAAGGATTTTGTTAGATAGCAATTCTCAACTTGTATGACACTGGGTTTAGAAACTTCATGAAGATTTATAGAAAGTATAAAACACTGCTACAACTATTAAATGAGAAAATCTAAAACCCGAGAATGAGTGGCAGGGGAAAGTGGAGAAATTATAAATCTGCCAAATGTTTGAGTCAACATCATATTCGAAGACAAATTGAAAACATCTGACTGTGAAAAATTATGGTTGCAGAGTGGATTTGACAAGAGTAGGTTAGGATGGTAGAGTCTAAGAAGCTGAGACCCACTGCATTTGATGGTTCTGTCTTTTTGCCAAATTCCTCCTGCCCAGAAGGGATTGCTTTTCTTAGTAGACTGTATGGGTTGGTGAAAAATGCTGTCCATAAATTAAACATAAAATAAAAATCAAATAATAAAATGTAAGGACCATATATAAATAATCGGACAAAAAGTTTAAAAAAATAGGCAATCTGCTTTATATAATCCCCAATATATAGTCATTTAGATGACTGACAGAATTCTCATTTATTTCTAAGCATCGATATTTTATAGAAGCGACTTCCATTAGCCCACATTTATTCATGAATATTTGCCCTACACAATTTTCATCCTGTTAACATTTCTCCATTTTGAAACAGCAGTCAAGGTGTCAGTAAAGTCTTCTTTTGGAAAATGCGCGTTGTCTTTAGCAGGATAGCCATGATGGAGTAAAATGGCGAGGAGAGGTTTATCCACGTGAGGACCAGAGGAAAAACAAGCTAACCCTGTCTTCTAGTCTGGACTAGTTGTCCTTCATGGTACCACCTCCCGACTTTGCTCAGTGACTAGCTCTCCTTAAGAACACACTAGTGATACAGAGGGGTGTCTCTTAGCTGTCCGGTCCATTAGACCCTAAAGTTTAGAGACCGAGACCAAAACAGAGAGATATGGTGGCAGTAGTGTGTTGGCTTCTTCTTTTCCTGGATATCAGATGTAACTGACAAATTTAAAAACACAATGAGAGAACATCTGAGGGGTAAATGCTATGTAGCCATCTCAAGGGAAATGGCTTGTTCTAGAATAAGGCAGAAATATCTAAGTATCCTATTTAAATCATTTTGGAAATTTTGAGATGAAAATATGGAAGGAGGAAATGAGGGATGTACTCAACATACAGGATTGTATAACTCACCTTAGAATGCAAGTAATCCACCTTAGAAATCGACACACACACACACACACACACACTCCTGCACAGATGAGAACATTAAGGATCAGAGACATGAAGTGACTCATCCTGATACAAAACTAATTAGAAACAAAGCTAAGGCTAGAATTCAGACCTCTTAATTTTTAATGCCTTTCTTCACTGCACTGTGCCTTTTGATTAGCTGGAATAAATCCATCCAAACCTCAGAATGATTTGAACTCTTCGAAATGAGACATTCCTTCCCCCATCCCATTGCCCTTTGCTGCCTCTGCCCCATCCAGGATCCTAAAGCACAGAGCCGATCACCTCATTTCCTTTTACAAAAACCTGGAGCATGGGAGAGCAGCTCCTCATTTCCCACCAAGGGAGCCTGCAAAGCTCCAAGACCCAGTTCCCACTGAGGTCATTCCCATCTGTCCAATGCCTTTTCACTTGGAGTGTTTTCCACCCAAATCAAACCACCTGCGGCTACACTTCTTCCTCCACCTCCTGTACCTCTGCTCACCCTCTTCATCCCCCCACAGAAACCCCCCCATGGCAGGCTTCCCTGTAAAAATTCCACTCATCCTCCAAGGCCAGATCACATGCCGTCTCCTTTGGGAAGCCTTCCAGGAGACCCAGCTATCTGGGACTGCTCTCTTCCACTTTGCCTATGTGTCTGCATCAGCCTGTATCACTGTCTACCATCTGCTCTTCTGTAAGTCCCTGCAGGGAAAAATCCCTCTTACTCAGCACTGCAACTCCAGAGCTCTGAACCACACAACACACAAAGTAGGTACTCAGTTAAAACAAGCTCATGCATAAATAAACGTGTAGATGTATTAACAATACAATAGTTCCATCTTCTTCCGCTCCAGAATCCGTGAATTCACGTCAAAGTACTCCAAATAAGGGACATCGGTGAATTGATCAAGTAACTAGCCAATCGCCCATTTTTTTATTACACTTATTTTGCATGATGTCTGTATCACCCTAGCCTCTCAGCAAAACTTTCAGTAACTGGAAATTTAAAGTCAATTTTAAACTCAAAAGAGACACACATTGCCTTTGGGAAAAAAAAGTATACAATTCCATACTAAATTCCCTGGTTATATTACACAGTCACACTTTGTCACTATTCATTCATTTCAACGAAGCCACAATGCCAAAAGAAAGGTCCTATTGCCAAACTTATCCAATGGCATTAAATACGGTATCTGCTTCTGAAATTGTTTATTAAACATTCACATAAAGATATGCACTTTGAATATTAACGAAGAAGAGTTTGGGGAAGAAAGTACCAGGTAGAGAAGGGGGCTGTGGAGGGTTGGAGAGGCATGTGCCATTCTGCCTACCTAACACGATTATGGCACTGCCAAGTTCAGCAGTTAAATATCTGGGGAAGCAAAATTATCCTCTTGGTGCATCCATTTTACAGTTAATACCTACAGGTGGTAAATGATGATTCTCCCCTCCTGAGCTGCACAGTAAGTCCAACAGAGAAAATGTTAGAATCCCAGATCAGAGATTGGTCCCTTATGTTGTACACGTTCAAGGTGAAAGACAAGGTCCATGTAGCCCAGTTCAGGCTTGTCCTGGTCTTCTTTTGCCCTTTTTCTCCTTCATGATGATCTTACTACTCCCAATATCCGGGTGCCTGCCTGAGCATCATTCTTGTTTTCCGCTAGGTATTCATACTCACAGATGAGCTAACAAAGTCCCAAGGTGTCATCTTTCAGGGCAGCACATTTAACTCCTCCTCCTGAAATAATTTGAATTTTAGGTGCACTTTAAAAAGACCAAAACAAAAAAGAAAGAAAGCAAACTTTTATAACCCAGCAAGAGGAGGTTCTAGTGGTGTTATTGTCAGGTATCTAGAGTCAGTATGGTAAATTGGGAGTTATCCAACCCATCTTTTCCAAAAGGCACATTGTGAACATGGCCACTGGGGTTGGGAAATCTCCAGCGGGAAGGGTTTGTGGGCAGAGTGAGCTCCGCGGGTCTGTCGCCCCGCACTGGAGGGATGTGAGGAGTGAGTAACTGAAGATTTGGCAGGTCACTTCTGAAAGGCCGCCAACGTCTGTGTCATCCCTGCTCTTCTAGATTTGTTGTTCTGCCTCATCCAAATAAATGCTCCCTCCCTGGGGCTTGTAAAAGCTGGGTTTTCATGCATAATTTCCTCCCAAGTTGGGCAAACCAGCTACCCTGCATTAAATCAATTGTGATCCAAGCTGATTCTGCTTTAAAATGACTTCCAATTAGCATGCAGCAACATGCTATAAGAGTTCCAAATAGATCAATTAAATAGCTGCATTGGGAAGAATCATCCTCATGGGTCTCATTTTTTTGTCCTTCATGTGTTGGGGAAAAAAAAATTTTCCTGTAAAAGATGACTCCTCTGTAAAAATATGACATGATCTGATTTAAATGTTGCTTTTGAATGCTGCATTTGGGGCTTATGGAAATTTTTCTTTTAATTCTTCTCTGTCTGACAGTCATTATCCACCAGACTTGGGATCATAAAGCTCACCTTATCACCCTGACCTCTTTCTCCCAGGAGAATGCACACATCACAGGTTATTATAACCTAAATGTGTATATATGTAGCAGGAGGATTACAAAGTACACTCAGTCCATTGTTTAGAATCTATGGAATAGAAACAATGTATATATATATATATATATATATATATATATATATATTACTCCCTCTGTGTGTGTGCATGTGTGTATACGCTACTCTGAATGTATTGTTACTTTTTCCAAAATCCCTCAAAAGATTTCTATAATAATTTCCTTATTTATTATCAAAAACTAAACATTAACACATTATGAGCATTTAAATAAGTCTTCTTTAGGATTATTAGCACATTCTAATTTTAATCAGTATGTGTTCTGTCTTCTCAACATTATACTTCAGAACAGCTACGTATGGTGACTAACATAACACAATAAAATTAAATTAAATTAAAAAAAAGAACAGCTACATAATAAAGAACAACAACATATATAAATTTGTTTTGGAGGGGTTACTGCAGCCTAATCATTTTTCGGTTCTCCTTGTTACATAATATTTACTTTCTTTGAGATAAATAACCATCTCTCTGAAATCCCAATCTTTTCCAAAAATTCAGTTTGTTTCAGACCTGATTGCAGTTGTGCTACGGGTGGTCATCCTCCTTTCTATGGAGAAGGTGATTACTCCCCAGTCCCAGCTTAAAGAAACTCACATGCGGTTCTGCAGCTGATAACAGGTGGAAAAGTCCCGCCCATGAGCCAGGAGCCCCATGAATTTGGCTCCAGCTCCGCCGTGAATTCTCTTGTCCCTTTGGTGAGTTCCTTTGCTGTTTGGTGTCAGTATCCTCGTCTGCAAAATGGAGTGATGAGGAACCCATTCCTCTAATGGGTTGACTGGGCATTTGCCATGCACTATGGAGATGAATAAAGATATTAATCTTTTGCCAGTCCAGCTTGCTGCAGTTTTGTTCTGAATTAACTGGGGGGAAAATGTTTTCTTTTTTTTTTTTTTTAAAGATTTTATTTATTTATTTGAGACAGAGAGCATGAGAGGGAGGAGGGTCAGAGGGAGAAGCAGACTCCCCGCCGAGCAGGGAGCCCGATGCGGGACTCGATCCCGGGACTCCAGGATCATGACCTGAGCCGAAGGCAGTCGCTTAACCAACTGAGCCACCCAGGCGCCCCAAGGGGAAAATGTTTTCATTTGAGGATATATTGCAGTGACTTTTTAAGCACATAGAACTTTTAAATTTTGGAGGACCCAAATCTGTAATTGACCAGATTCCTTGGAGACTTCTTCCATTCCTTCTATACTTAAAAAGTTCTTACCTCTTGAGGTTTCAGATCACTTCTTTCTATTATTATCTTGCCATTTTTCTGTGGTTTTCTTTTTAAATACTTAATTCGTTTGTTTTTCCAGTTCTAATTTATTTTGTACGTCCGAAGAGGGAGGCCAATACTGTTTTCTCCCCCTCAGTGCTCATAGTGTTCATGCCACCATAAAGAGTGTGGATAATACCACATTGCTCCAGTGACTTGTGATGCTTCTTTCCCACCTGCTGCTGTAAGAATCAGTCTTCAGAGAGAACGTTACTTCTTCCTCCTCAGAAATGACACAGCATTATATCCTGGGTTGCTGTTATATTCCTCTAGTAACTTGTCTTACGCCTTTTTTTTGAGATTGTGACCTTTTCCAGGATGTAGGGAATAAGTCCTTTTGATTCTCCTTATTTTCACTCCATGGTTAGGTAACTCGTAATATGTTGTTTGAGTTGGATTCTGACAACATATACCAAAATACACATGAGGATAGAAGATGGGGAATGTAGATGTGATTTAAAAAAAAATGCCTTAACATAGCCAGGGTTGCTGGTCAGGACCCTTGACTGCGGGTCCACAGGACAGACTAGAGGGCTGTGATGCCAGTTTCCAGAAAGGGCTGCCCGGACTCGGGTTGCGCTGAATGGAGGCCAGTCCTCCCCATCACATTTGTTTGGGTCCCCCCACCAGCTTCTCCATGTGAATCAGAATGGCAGTCCCAGCTAAGATACTAGGCAGAAGGTCATGAGGGAACTGGGCACAAGCCGACACCCTCAGTGCCACGACAACCACTCTTTCCCCATGATGTATATAACTAGACAAGAAATTTCCCAGAACCCATTCAAGTTCATTTTTGAGCAATAGAGGCCCAGCGACAAGCTGCCGTCCTGGGATGACAATCTGGTCTGACTTTCCTTGTGAAGATCTCACGAGCCATTAGCTAGCGGATCATTTCGTAGGGTCTTTTCTTCCCATAAACTTATATCCTAGCCCACGCGTTATCTCAGGAGGGACATTTGTCACATTTGTCTTTCTGGCAAGAGGAACCCTGAGCTGTTAATATTAGAACCAAATTCCCTCAGCCTTTGTGCACTCTGGTATAAAATGATACCACACAGCCTCAGTTCCCCTTTTAAGAAGACTGCTTGATGTCCTAAGTCCCCGAAAGGATAATCCCCACCAGGGCAGCTCGGGTAACATTTCGGTCCTTCTCAATTGCGGAAAGGATAGCTACAAATTAATGTCCGGCTCACTGAGGTCACTTCAAGTGAACCTGGGGCAAATAAGTATAGCATGTCCTTGACCCCACTCCTCTACTTTCAGAGGATGGGAAGTAATTGAAAGTCTTGAAAACACTTGCAATAGTACACTGGAAGAAAGTGAAATGGTTTAGGAGAATTAGAGTCTGTTGGGTCAGAGTTTGAACCCAGATACTACCACATTGAGATATGTGATGGGGGGTAGTTATTTAACTTCTCTGAGCCTTGATCTCTGCATCTATTAAACAGAATACTGGTCACCTTATAGGGATATTGTGAAGATCAGTCATAAGTGCTTGAAGTGTCTGGCCCATAGTAAGCTCTCAATGCGAAGTGGCTATTATTAGAACTGGAGTAAGCAGGGTTTATTTGGAGGTTCTTGGATGGTATGGGCAGAGATCAGTGAGAATGAGTATCGAGTTCTTCCCTGTGTGTTCCCTGGGGCAAGGCCAGAGGTGAGGACAAGGGCTGTATGGGCCATTAGGTTGCTCTTGCGTTGGCACCTTCCTGATATTAGGAAGGGCTAGCCCTGCCATTGATGGTGGGAATCAGAAAGTGTAGGTGGCAGCTATGCTGGACAGCTGGGGCCTGGCTGGGTTTATGGGGCTCCTACTGTTCACTCCTCCTTGCTGGGCCCATCCCTCAGGGATTCTTCTCTATGGGTGCAATGCTGGTGGTCAAGGCTGATTACAATGTGAAAATGAGTAGCAAGCATGTGTGTGGTCCCAGGTGGCTAATGCCACCTGCCAGAGTCTCATGAGAGAAGTTTCCAGACTTTCCCAGAGAAAGGCAATGGGGCAGCTCATGTCTGCACACCTGGAGCCCTAACGCCCCCCTGGTAGAGGAGTAGAGAGCCATGTTTGCCCCCTTGGCCTTATCTTTATTAATAGAAACTTGGGTAATGTCATCTGGGAGAAAATAAAAAGGCTGGCAGAAGAGGGTATATATTTTAAGATGACACAGTTTATATTTAGAGACTGGGATTATGACCCCTGGGAGACATGAAAGAAGAGGAAGAGATATTATAGCTGAGCATCTGGCCTGGGCAAATGTCATCTCCCAAAGTGGTTATGCTTCTCACCAGGTGCACACCAGAGCTGAGAAGGCACGGAAGGTGGGAAATCCAGAGCTCACCCATCCCTAGATCTTTCCACTGCCCAAGGTGCTAAGGGGATAGTCCCCGAAGTCGGGGCTGGACCAGCCTTTCCTGGACCAAGGGAGGCTGAGCCAAGCCATGGTGCACTTTCCCCAGGAAGTGATTTTGGACAATGTGAAGTGCACCGATAGACATCAGGTGCTTGAGACATAGCATACTTCACCTCTGAGATACAGATTAGTATTCTCCACTGAGGTTTCTAAGGACTGACATCATCATTTTAAGCAGAACTGGAAGGGTGATGTGCTAATTTGACATACAATTATCACCTGTCTATGGAGATGGTACAAACTGTTCTTGGATAATTTTTACATTAAGGTTTTATTACTGCTTCCCCTGAAGTTGAGTAATCACCATAAAAACAACAATGCTTACCACATTTTTTCAGCTGCCTTCCATTTATTATCTCATTTTATTCTCATAATATCCACATAAAATTTGTCAAATAGCCTTTGACATGTTAATATAGAAGTTAATAATATAATCACTGTAGAATTTTTTTTAATCTAGGGAAATTGAATTAGAAATATAAAAATACATCCACCTGGAGAAAACCACTGTTAATATCTTAGTGAATCTATTTTCATTATTTTTCCATGCATATTTTAAATAGTTACGATATTATGTATAAAATGTTATGCACTATTTCTCTGCTAATATTATACCATAAGTACTCACTACAAAAAGAGGTTTTCTATACAAGATTCTTTGCAAATATAATCTTAAAGCAGCATAGCGTTGTGTTGAGGGATGTGTCATAATGTACTTAATAAATTCTCGATGTTTGGAATTTATTGATTTCCAGTATATTCTGTTATACTGCTTCAGTGAACACTTCTGTGGATAAATCATGATCTAGGGTGAGGACTAGGAAGTTGCTTTTACAAATGAGAAAGCACAGGTACAGACATCATCCATAGATTCTCAGCCTGTGAAAGTGGGACAGCAATTACAGCATAGCCTTTCTTCATGCCTGACTCATTATGAAGAAGCAGAGAAAGGGGATTATCAACCCAGCCAAGGGAATAACACAATCAGAGAATTATAGACCTAAGTTTGTACCTGTGATCATATTCATGTTGTAGACTCTTACAACTAGATTAAAACTAAGAAAGGCATTTTAGATCAGTGGTTACAAAACTGGCTGGCACAACATTAACACATCAAGGGTTTATTAAACTAAATCAATAGGTTTAAGGTAAAGTTTGAAACTCTGTAACAGAAAGAAAGGAAGTAAAGAAAGAAGGAAGGAAGAAAGGGAGAGACGGAAAGAGGAAGGGTGGAAGGAAGGAGGGAAGGAAGAAAGAAAGAGAGAGGGAGAAATGCAAAGGAAGTGGATGGCCCTTCTGCTTTGAAGCAAATTTGCTAGCATTGCTTTGAAGTTATTTGGCAACTTCCCTATGATAACTGCTAGAAGAGATGGTTGCCAAGATGGTCTATATAAGGCAATGTCACAAGAGCAGGTGGGTCAGTGGGACTCCTGTGTGGAGTGTTAGCCCCCTGGTGGGTCTCCTAGCAAAAGGAAGAGCCAGTTAATGGATGCCATGTACAGTAATCTGAGCTCAGGTGTGGGCATGGGCTCTGTAGCTCCTGATCCCACATAGAAGGGGCTGCTGATCCCATACCACTGGCCTCCCTGGTTGCCCATAGTAGCATCCGTTTTGTGTCAGGGATGTGGAAAAGGAGCTAGCCCTTTAACCCTGGCTTACATTGAAATAAGCTGGTAAATGTTAGCTAGAGGCTGCATTGAAGTCAAAGTTGAAGTTAAACTCAGCAGTACCTCATTAGTGTGCTCAGGTACCCCAAAGACTATTCCAAACATGGCAGTGGTGAAAAGATTAGAGCATCTGCTGAAAATTTAGGGTCAGCCATAAGCGTGTAGTTTGGGAGAGTCGTGTAAGGGTCAGTTTTATGCTTTGGGATCAGGTCACCTTTTAAAGATGACATCAGGGTGATCTGGGCTTGTGTCTAATGACTTCCAGACCGAGCGCATTCCATGTGCAGTCCAGAAGATGAAGTCTCCAGATGCTGCTGCCTGAGAAGTCCACCTGGGACTGATTCATCCAGCTGGATTTCCCTTCTCCTAACATCACGGTTCATCATGAAAGCAGGTCAGGTCTGCCTCTGAGGTTGTGCAGACAGCTGGTGGATGATGCAGGGAGCAAATCCCAGCTTGTTCTCACTTTGCCCATTATCTGGCCAGCTGGGCCCTAAGATGGAATGATTGCCCTGCCTTGGGGTGGCCATGGAAGGAAACAAATGCAATCCCCTCTTATGTAGTGTGGTTTTGCTGAGTGCTAAGTGCACTGAAAGGCGAGATACCACCAGGGAAAGTGGGGTGTGCCCATCTTGCCTGGAAATGCATTGCCATGGCACTTGAAGTTGCCCAACGCCAGTGGTGTCCTTCCAGAGCAAGCCACCAGAAGTTTGCTCAAAAGGAAAGAGTAACTTTGCCTCATTCTGCAGACCAGAGAGATGTCTGTGACTTTATATCCCCAAGAGAAGCCTCTCTGCTTGGGTGATGGGAAGAGAAAAAGGAGAAAGGAAAGATGTGGGTCACTGGGGGCCGGGGCCAGGTTACAGCCAGGTCATTGGGAAACATGGTCATCACACTTCCACCCTGCCACCCCCACCCCGCCTGCCCCCCCCCAAAAAAGCAGCATGGTATCTGGCAGGCAATTACTCAGATATCCTGTGAAAAATTCTTTCCACACTGATTTAAGTAGCAGGTTTTCACTTCAAATTAATATGGATAATAGTTTGGAGACCTGGGTCGACCATTCCACTGGCAGGTGAATCTGCTCTTCACCCTTATCGAGCTACTACATTAGAAATAGTTTATATGATTATGTAGGCATCAGCATTTGGCCATGTGTTTAGGGGATGACATTTTGTGGTCCTGGGGGCTGGGTTTGATTTTACCATCCTTTTCTTAGATTCTTAGGTTATCCAAGTTTGTCTCTTCTTTCCTTCCCCTCTCTCTGTACCTCTCCCACCTTACCCTCATTTTTTTTAATCACCTGCAGTTGATCTTTTATTCCAGGGATTTTTCTTCTTTAGAATTCTGTTTTTTCTTCCTGTGCTATCACACTAAAGGGGCAGAATTGTGCCCACTTACAAGAATGTGTTCACTTTATTTTATTTATTTTTTAGAGGTGGGGAGGAGCAGAAGGAGAGAGAATCTTAAGCAGGTTCCATGCCAGTGCAGAGCTGGATGTGGGACTTGATCCCACCACCCTGAGATCATGACCTGAGCCGAAATCAAGAGTCAGATGCTTAACCCAGGTGCCCCAAGAATGTTTTCACTTTAAAATCCCATCTTCTTAGGTAAAATAGATGCTAGAACTACAAAGTCCAGATACCAACTACAAAGGATAGGTGATAATAGATAGATAGATAGATAGATAGATAGATAGATAGATAGATAGATAGATAGACAGATATAAGACAAGTAGGTAATACACACCTATTTATTGTTTCCAAGATACAAAAGTATCTTGCAAAAAATGCCACCCTGACATCGTGAAACATACTCGAGGGCGGAGGCCATATTTCACAACCACATAACACAACACCTTTCCTGGGCTGACAAACTGTCTCCCACTGACCTTGGGCTTTTCTCGAACTGACCTGTGGCTCATTGCTGGGGCAGGTCCTGATCAGCCAGGCAGGTGGAATGTTAGCGGAGCTTGACTGGAGGCCCCTAGGTGGTTGGTCCTGTCTGAGTTCAAGGAAGTACTTCATTCTTGTTATATTCAACTTCAAATCTGAGAATCGTGTGAGAGATTCATGAGACAAGAGGTTGCTTAGACAAAAAAGACAAAGTACATACTAAAAAAGTACCTATTAAAAACCATACTCTATGAGTTCCTGAAAAATATACTCTTTCAAGCCACTGTGGTACTTCTGCATCATCAGTCCTTACAAATAGCTAGTCACTGTGCAGTCATATGCTGCACAGTCCAGAATCAAGCCCTAACTGCTCTGTGCCCTGTTTCTTCATTCATTGAAACAGGAATAAAAATAGCATCTAACCCATAGGTTTGTTGCGATGATTCATTAAATTAAAACGTACATCACAGAATAGTGAGTGACTGGCTGGTAAAAAGCCATAATATATTTTAGCTGTCTTTATTATTGACTGAGATAGGATGTATTTATGGGTCTTAGTATTACCGGTATGAGCTAAGAAGAGGCAAAGAAGCAATGCTTACAGAAACGAGCTTTTCTCTCCATTTTGTGGATGGGGAGTGATCTGCTTAATGCTAAATAGGAACGCTTTCTGACTGTTGGCACATTGACTGCATGGTGTCTATCGCTCAGATAATAGCACAGGAGGGACCCCTTCAAAGTGGATATATTCGCAATGGTTTCCGGAACTGAGGTTACTTAGCTGAGTACAGAATACTGGAGAAAAGACATGACCACTATCCTCAAATACTGACGGGCTGACATGGGGAAGAACAGTTACCTTTATTTTGTTTGGATCCAGAGGACAGAGGTGTGCCCAGCCAGGTAGGAGTTATAGACAGATTTGGATTCAACATGGAAAGAACTTTCTAACCCTCAGAGTTGTGGGCAGTTCATAAAATAATCTTCAGCAGGATTTTATTAAACTCTCTGTGCCTCAGTTTCCTTTTTTTAAAAGATTTTATTTATTTATTTATTTATTTGAGAGAGCGACAACATGACCAGAGGGGGAGGGGCAGAAGGAGAACCAGACTGCCCACTGAGCAGAGAGCCCAATGCAGGGCTCCATCCCAGGACCCCAAGATCCTGACCTGAGCCAAAGGCAGTTGCTTAACCAACTGAGCCACCCAGATGCCCCTGTGCCTCAGTTTCCTAATTTGCAAAATGAGGATAATAATATCTACTTTTTAATTTTAATTCAATTTAGTCAGCATATAATGTATTATTAGTTTCAGGGATAGAATTTAGTGATTCACCAGTTGCGTATAACTCCCAGTGCTCATTACATCAAGTGCCCCCCTAGAATAATATCTATTTCTGAGGGATGTTGTGAAGACTGAATTCATTAATATGTGTACAATCTTTTAAATAGTGCTGGAATGCATTTAGCATTTTGTAGACATTAGCCATTGGATAACTGCCCTGTAAAGATGGAGAGGGGCAAGTGTTATTATCTCTTATATTATGGACAAGGAAAACAGATCAATTATCGAGCAACCTGGTCTACTCTTAGACAACTGATCACTATGGCAGCCGGAATGACCCCAACTGGCATTTCATGGGTGTGCCCCCAGCAATAGCGCTCTCCATAGTCTCAATTCTTGGAGCAATAAACTATATTGTATATATTTTTGGAGATCTCACAGACTGTGAGTCTTTAGTAAATACTTACTGTCTAGACTTAAATAATCGTACCTTCTCATAGAACGAGTATGGACTTATGCTCTAGAATTCCAAGTATCCCCATATCCTTCGCTAATCATGATCAGGGCAAACCACAGTCTAACTGGGTACCGGACAAAGTCATTTTACATTTTTTCCTAACTCAACAGTTGCTGCAATTTAACTTGATGAAATACAACATAGGTTTAATTGGAACTTACCTGCAAATTAAGCACAAAGAATCTGTAGAATTGACTGCTCCTTAAATATCACTTAGCTCGGCAAACTAATAGCTCTTCTATGGAGATGCCATTCTGGGTAGACATTAAATTGTGGTTCAAATGGCAAAACAAACAATGTGTGGGCTCCTCTCAGTATTTATTGTGATTATGCTATGTGAATAATAAGTAATATTTGAGGACATAAGTCATTATTGGCTTTGCATACTTCCTAAGCAGTCAATCCTAGAGCCAGGATCAACAAGCCCCAGGATGCCCTCCTGCTTTTGTTTTTCTTTGTTTTACATGTGCTCCTACATAAGGCTGGAGGGGAGTTATTCCCTCTCGAGACATTTGGTACAGCTCATTTACATATATTTGCTGTTTTCGTTATCCAGAAATCTAGGGTGTTGATGGGATCTGAAATGCAGTATGGCTCTGTGTCCATAAGCAGGGCAAGGAGAAAATGATACATTTGTCCAAGTGTCAGACTGTCCACAGGAGACAGGGCAAAGCCATAAAGATTGTGGGGGCTATGGTCACACGGCACCTCTGATAGACACATGGAGTTATGTTTCCCATTAAGGATCTCACACGCTCTTATGGCTTAAACATAACATTTTGATCCTGATTCTCAGTCAGTGGCTGAAGGCCAGGGCTCCCCAGAATGCCTTATCTGTATTGTCAGTTGCCTGCTGGACATGTCTGTCTCAGTGTCCCATGGGACTGACCACCCATGATCCTACTTCCTTCAATCTGCTCCTCTGTTTTTCTTATTCTTGTGACTGAGTGGATCTTGGCATCATTCATTAAGCCAGAAACCTTGGAGCTGACCCCTGTTTTTCTCTTTCTTTGATGCATCAATTCTGGTCACCATCTGGGTACTGTTGATTCTCCTTTTCTTCACTTTTTCTTTCAAGCCCTTCTTTCCACATTCACTGTGACCTTCTCGATTTAAGACTTACTGTTTCTTTCATGGACCATTGGACTCCATGTCTAGGTCTTACTCTGCTGACAGTCTTGCTACTTTCTTTCCTCCCCCCTACAACCATGGTGACCTTTCAAAATGAAAACCCAAATATATTTCTCCCCCCTTCAAATCCTTCCCTGGCTCCCTGAAACCTAAATGTGAAGACCACGGTATGGCACTTAACACCCTGCATAATCCAGCCTGTCCTGATTCCCTAGCCTTGTCTCTCTCCACCTTATATTCACGTTCTGTTATGTGACAGTTCTCCTTAAGCCTCTGCATGGAATGTCCTTTTCTGTCTTCTCCCTCTTCGGAATAGCGACTTACATTTTTAAGTAATTAACTCAAATACCATCTCCTCCGGAAAACCTTCCATGACTACCTGCTCTAAGGATAGTTGACCCCTCTCATCTTTGAGTTTTCCACCTGAACCTTGCATACATTTCTATAATAGAATTTACATTATATTGCATTCAATGATTTACATGCTGTCTTAGTCCATTTGGGTTGCCATAACAAAAATGCCGTAGCCTAGATGACCTATAACCAACCAGCATTTATTTCTCACAGCTCCAGAGGCTGGGAAGTCCAAGATCCAGGCACTAGCAGTTTTGTTGTCTGTTCAGAACCCACTTCCTGGTTCATGAATGGTTATCTTTTTGCTAGAACCTTATATAGTGGAAGGGATGAGGTAGTTCTCTGGGGTTTCCTTTACAAAGACACTGATCCCATTCTTTAAGTGCTCTGCCCTCAGGACACTTTCACCTTAGGGGTTAGGTTTCAACACATGAATTGAGGGGGAACAGGGGAACATCAACACTCAGTTCATTACACAGGCCCTTCTTCCTCCACTCCTCTTAAGTCTCCAAGTAGAGACACTCAGTCTCCCTCATGTTTTAAATTCCAGTGGATTACTCAACATGGCATAGGACTCGAGCATTCACCAGTAAGAAGGCATAATGGAAGCCCATATGCAGAGTAGGAAGGCAAAAAGGAAGGATCTGTGTGGCCGCATTCCTCCAAGTGACAGTGAGGTGGGAAGCAGGGCGACTTGTTAGGGGTTAACCTGGAAGTGGGGTTAATGGGGATGAGGTCAGGACAAGTATCCTGGCAGGGGAGTGGACAGAAAGCTCAGGACATGCAGGAGAGGACAATAATTTTTTTTTTTCAAGACCAGAATTGGGGGCAGAGAGTCAAGCTTTGCTCTCAGCCCCCAAGTCCCTGAGTGATGGTCTTTAAGCACACAAGAGCTCTGTCTGAAAATCATACCATGAATTCAGATTCCAATGTTCCAATGTGGTCTTTCCACTAAAAGAGCACATGGATTTTTCAAACCATCAAAAGGTAATTTAAAACATCAGGACCCATGTTTTACTGTTTAGTGAGTCACAGCGTCCCTCATTAAAATAAGTTTTTCACACATCTGGTCAATGTTTAGACACAATGGCTTTTGCATTCAGTTCTCTCTGAGCTGGAGATAACACTTTGCATGTTGAATAGGGTAGTAGTTGGATTTTGTTTATTCCTGGAGAATCAAGCAAATCACAGGGTCAGAGGAACCCAGAGGGCTAATGCTTTCTGCTTCATTTATTAACTGAGGGCGCTCCCATCCCAGCCACAGCCTGGAGGTCCACTCCCAGAGCTTAATCCTGGGAGACAGCCCTGCCACTGCGGCTTACTGTCCGGCCGAAGACCACACAGACCCAGGCCTGGCTCTGGGGCCAGGCATTCACCAACCCAAACAATGATGAACTGCTTTCCTCTCTGCCCAGCCACACTTCCAAGACCAGAACTCTGGGGCACCCCCACTTCCTGCCTACTTGCCCTGAGTGCCTCCTCCCCATCTGAGGAAGAAGCAGACCCTTAGCTCCTCAGAAGTGTGGTCTTCAGAGAAAATCCACTTTTGTACTAGGAATTAAAGCACCTCTGCATTGTAGTGGAAATACCAGATAATTCTGGAAAGAATTTTGGATGACCAATCATGAGCCTGACACAGATAATCTATTGGAAGCACAAACAAGTAAGGGGCTTGAGGTCCAGGGTCCCAGATTGGCCACTGCTGCCCTCTGGGCCACCAGGGAAGGTGAAGCTCTCAAGAATGACTCCATCCAGGGGCCAAAGCAACAGGAAGCCAAATGTGACAGCAATGGGAGCAGAGAACGGGGTTCTCTTCCCCTGTTCTGGACCCAAAGTCCCCTTTCTGTGAACTCCCTGGGCAGTGTCACTGGCCCTCACTTGCAGCCTTGTCATTTCTAGCCTGTGCTTTAGTTTGCTAGCTGGGCAACCGAGCAAGTTGATAAGAAGATGGGGATAAAAGTATCAACCTATTGCATTACTATAAGAAATAAATCTTTAGTGTTTTTCGGAAGTGTTTAGTTAAGTCAGTACCTGGCAAGAAGCAGGATTTTTTAAAATGTTATTTTTCTTCCTTCCTTGACAAGTGTGTAGCACTGTGGTTAGGAACGTGGACCCTGCAGCCTGACAGCTGATGTTAAAATCGGGTTCGGCTGAACTAGCTGTGTAGCCTTAGGCATATTTCTTAGCTTCTTTTCACCTCAGCTTTTTCACCTGTAAAGTGGGGATAAGAATCATAGACCCTATTCCAATAGGATATTGCAAGGATTTAAATAAACGACTATATACAATGTGCTTGGGACAGTATTGACCATATGCGTGATGAGTGTTGCAAAGCTTGGCTCTTATCATTATTATCCTCCTTATGTAGGAATAATTCATTTATGCAGTCTCATGGAGCCCATAGAACATTACTCCATCCATGGCAGGTGCTCAATACCTCTCTGCAAATTGAACGAATGAATGGATGGAGTAACCTTTCTTTTAGACATTGTAGGTACTTCACAATGCATTTTGTAAGATTCTCATTCAGACAAGAAATGTTTATGGAGGGTCTTCTACATGCCACGCGCTGTGCTAGGGTGTGGGGATACCATACCTCACAAAGCTGACATGCAGTCCCAATCTGGAGGTCTCAGCTGTCCTCTCATCCTGGTACCTCGCTTAACCAATGAGGACATGGAGGCCCAGAGAAGACAAGGAATTTCTGGGAGGTGGTAACTTGTAGACCAGTTGCCTGTTCTTAGGATCCATGTGTCGATACCCCATCTTGTTAGTTGAGACTGGTTTGTTTCAATGTCCTTGTTGGTATGGGAGGCAACACAACCTGGTGGAAAGAGCTTGGCTCTGGAGTTAGACAAAATCCAGCTCTGCCATGTGCCAGTGGTACCACGGGACGATGTGCTTCAACCATCTTGGCTTCAGCTTTTCCGAGCAATGGAATATTAGCTTCTGCCTCATCTGTAAGAGCATTCCTATTGCAGAGTTGCAGAATGAGAACCGGGAGACACACATGTCCCACATGGCGCCTTCATTTTGTTATTTTTAATTGAATTCGTTGCAGACATTTAACAATTTATATAAACCCTAATGTCTGGCTCCTCTTGACAAGTCAGAAGTTCTGGCAGCAACATTTAACTGGAGTGAACAGCTGCCCCCTTGGACATGAACCTTCTGATATGGCACAGTCCTCACCTTTCTCCATTCATTTTTCATACCTGGCCTGCTCCACTCCTTGGCCTACCTGCCTGACCTCTGTAAGCATGTCTGTTTTCAGGGCCTGCTGCATGGATGAGGTCTGCATGGATGAGGTCTGTGGGGGTGGGGGGGACATTATTATAAATGATCAAGTTGCTTCCCTTTTTAATCTTCCCTAGACTATGTGCTTCCTTTGTAGAGCCACGGGATGTGTTTTCTCCAAATAGATGACTTTTTCCTGTTAGCTTCACACAAGATTTAGGAGGCACAAGAATAGTAAGATGAAAATGGAGCAATATGGGTAGAGGGACATCGATGCTTCAACTTCCCTAGTCACCTCCACCCCAGCACAATGCAGAAAGAAGAGGGAGAGGTGAGAAACTGCACCAACCTGAGAAACCAGGGGCTGTTAAGAAGTGGGCTGGTCGGGGCCTCGTGAAAAATGGCAATTTGGCAGAATACTTGATTTCCTTCCTTCCTAGAGCCAACATGAGTTTTATTTATAACTCAGCTCCCAGAGCTGCTTCATGTTAAATCAGTAGTGGAGAGGCCTGCAGGGCTCCAAGCGGGAAGTGGCTTTCTAGACATCTGGACTCGAAAGCTGTGTGGTGCAACAAAAGGAGCCCCAGCCTGGGGCTGGGGGCCCGGAAGTCTCAAGTCCTTGTTCTGGCTCCTGATCTGTCACTGATGGGCTGTGCTGTCTTTGAAAGTCATGTAGCCCCAGTTCAACCCACTTTAGAAGCAGCTGTTAGGAGCATCCAATGACACAACTGATGCATGTGTGTGTGTGTGTGTGTATCAGTTTTATACCTAATGTACCCCAGATGACATAAAAGAAAATTCAGATGTGTCATTTGTATTAAACACGTAATCTTCTACGAGGCTCCATGCTGATGAGACCAGACTCTGGGTCCAGGAACTTGAGGTGAGAGAGTGCCTCGGAGCTCACCACTGCAGCATCTGCAGAACAGCCAGCTGTCTATGTGTGTGTGGGGGGGGTACAATTGGGCAGAATCTTATCACTCAGGTAGCACAACAGGGCATGGGGGCTAGTAAGTAGTCAGTGAGCAGCTGGATGCTGGCTTTGCAGGGCATGTATGACTCCACCCTTGAAAGAAGCTTGGCCCATCAAAAGTGCCCATCAGGAAGACGCTTGCCAAATGAGAGCAAGGGCAAGCAGTTCAAAATCCTACCAGGTAAAAGATCTCATATTAATAGCCAAGATCATTTAAAGGAAATTCACTAGCTGAGTCTGTATAAGATGGGTGATGAAGATGAAGGTACTTGGAACTACTCCTACAAGGAACATATAAACAATGATGCGCAGTTGAAAAAGGGAAGAAGAGGGGAAAACGACCTGAGGTTGGCTTGAAATATGACTCGTGTCATATGAAAAAGCATTAGACCAGCCACAAATGGAGATTTAAGAATAATGGTAGAAGTTACAGGTCTACTGATTTTTCATTTGTGTATTTATTTATTTATTTTCATTTATCTACACTAACAATTAAGAGTTCAACCTCAGAGCTGCACACTTGCATTAAATCCCCACTTTATCATTAACTGGCTACATGACCTCAGGCAATTTACTTAGTCTCTCTGAATCTAATGTTTTTTATTCTGCAAAAACAGGGATAAGAAGAATATTTATCATGAAGGGCTGTTTTGAAGGTTAAATGAGTCAATGCAGGGAAGGTGATTAGTATAGGGTCTGGCATACACTAAGCACTCAATAACTGTTAACTATTATTATAATTCAACCAGCACTTACTAAATGCTAGACTCTGCACTAGGCATCGTGGTTATGATGGTAAATAGCACACAGTCAGTCCTCAAGGACCATCCAATCTAGAAGTGGATTGATATTTGCAAGAATAGTCCTGAGAGAGAAGCCCGCATCTGTATAGGGATCAAATCCCCATCAGCAGCTATTCTTACACAACAGCTAATCAGCTACTTGGAAAGATGGAGCAGAAGGGACTCACACTTCAGGATGGTCCTTGGATGGGGTGACCGTTAAGGTCCCCTCCAACCCCAATAGTCTCTGATTCTAAATTTCTTCCTGGAGATAGTGTTGAATATTTATGTCCCAATCCAGAGCCAGAAATAGGCTGGGGGAGGTGGGGGGATGGAAGGCAGCTGCAGCCCTTGGTGACAAGCCAGTGTCAGAGCCCAATGGGGGGAAGGGCTCATACGCCTGACCACAGGCAATCACTATGTCTTGTCCTGCACTTTGGTCCCATGACTCCAGGCAGTGACCTCCCTGTGAAACAGGGGCCTGCCATGACTCCTCTTACCCCAGTGAGTACATGAGGTTCTTCAAGGATCTCTTAATGGTCTTGACCTTGTCCACAATATTTTATACCTGTCACTTACTGAGGTCTGTTTACTCTGAAATTATGGGGAGGGTTGACATTGTGCTTGGAACAGCATTTGATGAATGTGTTCCCTGAACCCTCACCCAACAAAAACCCAGAAGAGAGTCTGAATTTAGGAATATGTGCTCAGTTATGGGTTGTATCCTGGTTTACATTCTTGCCCCTTGTCCGTGACCCATTCTTGGGAGCTGTGACCAACAGCACAATAACAACCTCAGACCCACAAGAAAACTGCAAAGGAGCCACTTTTAGTCCATCAACCTGAAATACCCTCCACATGTAACCAACATGTGTCCTTAAATTATGCAGGAAAGAATAGCCCTCCTTGCTTAGATGTCCAAATATTTAGAAATACTTGAGTTGAGATGAAAAATACACCAAGTGTTTTTATTTTTAATTTGTAATCTGTAAGAAATCTTTTTAAATTTTTAATTAATTTTTTAATAAATGTAATTAAATTCATTTTGTATTTAATATCCAAAAAAGATGATACATTGCAACTCAGCATCGGTACTCATAGATACACAAGTCCCACTGACAAATCCCCTAATCCTTACAATCAAATAACTTAACATTTGTTTCAATACCAATCTTCAGTATTCATCATGTTTTGTGAATGTTGGTTTTGACTCTGGAACTAGATGAAAGGCGTCTTAAAGGTGGGAACCATATTTTATCATCCCTTGAACCTCATTCCATCCTTATAATAGCTAACAATTATTGACCACTTTTTATGTGCCAGGCATTGGGCCCAGAAATTTACATAAATTCATTTATTTAAATGAATCCTTACCCCAAATAATGAAATAGTTATCAATATATCCATTTTACAAAGCAAGAAACGTAAGCTCATAGAAGCTAAGTACATTGACCAATATAAGACTCTTAGTAAAGTAGTACTAGTTTGGGACCCAAACCCAAGTCCATGGAATTCAAAAGCTCATCTACCTAAGCTGTTATGTTTTCTTTAGCTCAAGCTGTGCACAAAATAAGTCTTTCTTATTTAATAATGATTATCCAGGCAGTTTCATTTCAAGAGAGTCTACTGTAGTTTGCTCCACTGAATACCTGATTATAAAGCAGGTTACCATGGGCAAGAGGAACTTTTGTGATTTTATTTCTTGGAAGTCCAGCATTTCGATTTTTTAAAAATATTTTTTTTGTTATCAGTATGGATAAAGAATCCTCATTTAGGAGAGATTACGAGTTGACCAAAGTAAGAAATATATTTACTCAAATAAAAATGTTCCATGTAGTTTTGGTTTAGAAAGGTTGAGATTCAAATACAGTGTGATGGAATATGTTTTAGGATGGGGTTGGTGGTGATGGGAGGAAGAGGTATTTACACATTATCCTCCTTAAGTTAGTGTGGATTCTATTACCTGTTCTCCTTCCTCGTCCTGCACCCCCCTCCAATACAAATGAAAATGGGACCACAGATTGTTCTAGTCTGCCTCGAACTTTAGGGGCAAATTATAAGCATACTTTGAATATATTTTAGTTGGGACCTATGAAAGAGGGCCAAGTTCACGACACTGATTATCTAAGAACATTGCCTTATCTCTCCCTCATACTGACAGAACAGAAAAGAAACTTGTTTGTTTTATGCTTTATATTTTGGATTAATTTAATTGACTAGATTTCAAATTTTGCAAGCACTACTTTTGAAGTTTTCTTTTTTCTCAAACAACCCATAATTTTTAATCACTTATTCTGTCATAAGCACTATATCAGGGACTGGAAATATGGAGATAGGGATACAGTTCCTGCCCCAGTAGCCCACAGCCGAATGTGTGTAGACGGTGAACTAGAGGTTGCACCACAAATCTGACATCTTCTGGAGTCATCATTTCCTCTCATGTTCCAAGTATATCATGTGGGCTCCACCCTAGATTACTCTACATACACCAATGCTGAAGTTATTTCTGAAGCCCTTTTTAAAGAGATCTCACTATTGAAAATGAATTTGGGGGGAGCAAGAAAATTCTAAAGCATTATTCTTGGCTTTTAGGTTTTCAGAGTTTCTGGTGCTAGTGTCTGGGCCACTCTCAAGGATCATGGGATCCCCTGTATTACATCTCCTGAGCAAGCAGTAGCCCCATCTAGCAGTGTTGTCAGTTCCTAGAGGGAGAGGCAGCCCATGGGCTCCCCATTAAACAAACAAACAAACAAAAAAGATAATTATGGGAGAAAACAGGAGAAGGAAATTTTAGAAAAAAAGTCAAATTTTTTAAAAGCCAAAAACAAAGGAAAGGGAGTGGGAAGAAGGTAAAATGTGGGAGAAATAGGGTGTCTGGGGAATTGAGCTTGAAATGTGGGACTTCTGAGTCTTATGTGGACTTTTCATGTGCTGGGCATATGACAGGTGCTTGAGACTGAATCTTCGGGGGCTAATGTCAGGGGAAGCTCCAGAATTTTTCCTATCAACTAGAAGATGCTGGGAAGAAAGTCTCCACCTAATAATACAGTAGGACCTGGAGAGTTTACATGTAATATTCACAGTTTTGACCACTGAATTACAAGGATCCATAATAGGCAGAAAATGTTTGCTCAGGAAAGGATCATAATTGAGGGTTTAGAGCTGCCAGACAAGAAAAATTCATTCACTCACTCATTTATTCATTCTTTGAAAAATATTTATTGACCACCTACTAGGGCCCAGGTCCTACATCAGGTGCTGAGTTTATATCTATGAACAGGACATAGTCTGGATACCCAAGATGCTCACCTTCTAGAGAGGGAGAACCATCAATAAATGAGCATTAATTATACAAATGGATGAGATGTGAGTAAGAAAAGTATAAAGTTCTGAGAACATACTTGGGAGGAGCTCCAACCCAGCCATGAGAGTACCCTGGTGAGTGAGGTGGCATGTTTGATATCAACAACACACTTCAATTAAGTTTTGTTGTTCTCAATGGTTAACATGTATATAATGAAGTAATTAAGAAGGTCTGTGTGTGTTTGTGTGTGTGTGTGTTTATTCATGTAAAAAAATGATCCAGAACAGGGACACCTGGGTGGTGCAGCCAGTTAGGTGTCCTACTCTTGGTTTTGGCTCAGGTCATGATCTCAGGGTCGTGAGATCAAGCCCTGCATTGGGCTCCATGCTGAGCCTGGAGTCTGCTTAAGACTCCCTCTCTCTTTGCCCCTCTCTACCATCTTAAATAAATAAATAAAATCTTAAAAAATATATTTTAAAAAATGATCCAGAACAGAAAGACAGCTAATGATATGGTGGTATTTAAATACTTGACAATTCTAGTAGTTCTCTTATATCTTTATAAATGTCATGCATTTAATTAGCAACTATGGAGAAGAAATTGACACTGCAAGTCTGGTTGCTGAGTTATTTCATGTCCAGGGAAGCCTGGAACCATAACTGACACTTGGGCAACTCCTTGTGTTCTCGCGTTACTGACTGATGATGTTGTATATGCCTAGATAAAGGGGCCATGCTGTACCAGCTAGTCAAGACTTTGCAAGATTATTTAGCGAGAGTCATGATGTATCTGGTTTCATTGTTAGGGGAGTTTGGTTAGCAAGGCTAACTGCATAGAAGTATATACCTATATGGTCAGCCCTCCTTAGAAGCTTCAGATGCTGAGATTGGAATGGTCCTCCCTGGGCAGAGACATTCTACACATGTCGCTGTAGTTTTTCTAGAGAAAAAGTATAGACTGCCTGGCCCCAGATGGGGCAGGACTCAGAAGCCTATATCTCACATCTCTAGACTCCACCCAATGTGTATCCTTCTCCTGTTGCTTTTGCTGTGAATCTTTGCTATAATAAATTTTGTTGTAAGAGAAAGTGAGTCCTTACAGCAACTCACCAAACTTGAGTTGGTCATAGGCTGCTGAAATAACCCAAAAGATATACTGAGAAGCATTATAAACCAGAGAAGTTGTATGATGGTTAAGGTAGGGTGAGAAAAGATGAAGGTATTAGGTATTGCTTTTTACTTTATTATTTTCAACTAGGAGAAATATAGAGTTCTTTTATTGTTTTAAATCAAATTCAATCTGCTTGAGACCTTCACTCATCAAGGTAAATGTAAATTCTAATCTTTATTATGACAGGCTGCTTTTTATCTTAGGTTCATAGAAGAGTCTTGGGGTCTAAACCAGTCCAGAGTTCTGAGAAAGGCCTTTGACCTTTAGTGAACACTAGTTTTTGATGGCCTGCTCATTGTCTATGAATGTAGACAGCCCCACTGTCCTCTGCCAAACCTCTGCTCAAATACTGTCCAGCGTGTGTAAGTAACCAAGAAACCACTCCCCTTGAGAGCCTGCCTTCTCCTTAGAGTCATAGTGAGGTATGCCTCACTGCTTACTGAACTTACAGAATCTTGTCTCCTCTCAAGAAAAACTCCTTCCCCAACCCCAGTCCAGCAGATTCTATTTATCTGAACACTTGGATCTCCCCCACACTGGAAAACTTACCTCTAACTTACACAGATGAAGCTTCCAATCACAAAAACCTCCTTAGATTGTCCTCTGGGGGTCTGGTAACATCTGCTTTGGGCCCTGTAACACAAAAGCCACTAATAAATATTTCAGTCAAGGTAATAGAAAGGTTTGGCTATCTTCTTGGGATGTAAAGGAGGAACAACTTACATCAGAAAGGACAACACAGAAATGAATCTTACTGCAAATTATCTTGCTCCATTTGGAATACTCAGTCTCCACTTAATAGAGGAAATTAGTCTAGTGAACAAACTACTCCAGAACAAAGTAAAGTGCTAATGCAAGTGTCATAACAAAGGTTCATACACACTAAAAGCAGTAGAAGGGACAAGAGGGCTTGGGGGACATTGTGGATGGACTACTATAATGAAACTCAATGGGTAGGCTGGACTTGGGCCAAGAGAGGCCACTTACTATCACTGCTCAAACCCACCCAAGAACCCACAGTTCAAATCACAGCACCAAAAACAATTACCAACAATTAAAGTCAAAAGTTTATTTCCCCAAAATCAGGACCCAGAAGGATATTTTTATGAAGAGGCAGCATAGAAAGAATTCTAATCAGTTGGGCTTTATCTTCAATGAAGACATAATGAAAAGAAGAAGACTTGTACTGGATATAGAGGGGCTTTATACCCAAAGCAAGGACCTCCCTTGGTATCAATATTATTGGCTGTGTGTAGAGTCAGTGGAAAATATTACTAAGCTCTCCTCCTTGGAAGTCTGCAAGATTGGCACTGATAGAGCTTGCAGTAGAATGGAGAAGACATCAACTGTCAGGTTAAAGAAACCCGAGCTCTCCTACGTGGCTTTGGGCAAAGTTCTCAGGTTCTCACATAGAATGGAGATCATCATATTTCTTTTTCAGGGTTGTTGTGAAGTTTAGAAATAATATCTGACACATAGTGGACACTAAATCAATGGTAGATAATAGAATTTTCTCTTTTAGATGACACAAGTGATTTCGTGTCCAGGACCAGGTCACTGGGCTAAGTAATCTCCAGGCATCTCCTCCAGTCCCAAGATTTTAGCCACTGCTAATGCTAGTCCTCTTTCTTTTTGAAAGAAGCTGAACTCCTGCAGCTGTCCTGGCACATTGATCAAGTTTATTATCAGCAATGCTTCATTTATTCCCTACAAGGCCCCACTCCCTTTATTTACCCCCACTACCACTGGTATCTTGTCTGAATCTCCTAGACACTGCCTCCAACCTTCTTTCTCTCTACCCCACCATTTGAGTCCCAGGTTCTCCGGGTAATTATTCACTTAAGTAGGAGGCATAGGGCTAATTTGATCAATTCATCTATGCCAGTGTTTTAATAAGTGCTAATGGGTGACCTGCCAAGGTGGGTGAACATCACATGGTGAAACACTGGTAATTGAATATCCCAGGTAGTTAAAAAAAAAAAAAAAAAAAAGAAGAAAAGAAAAGAAATCAACACCAAAAGGTATCTTCACTCTAGGAGATCTCCCTATAGGCCAGTGACAAGGTATCGTGGGCTATTTGGGGGCCCTTGGCCATACTCAATAAGGACACTCTAGGTTGCTTTCTGGTGTACCTACACAGACAGATCAACCTAGAAAATATTCCTGCTGCTTTACCAGGGCAGTCAACCCATGGGCTGTGCAGGCTGAATGCTGCAAGCCACACTGTAGCTAAGCCAGATGGAAAGACCCAGACTCTTCTTCATTCAGGACCATTTCCTTAGTTCTAGGGAGTCAGACTTTTGGAACAATGGGGTTTAGAGACACTTTGGAAGTCATTTATGCTCATCACTTCATTTTTTTCTGAAGCAGAGGCTCAGAGAAATGTTGTTATATGTTAGGCCCCAGAGCTAGTTAGGGCTGGGCTGGATCTGGAACTCATGTTTCTTAGCTCCAAAGCCGGAACTGTTTATCTTCACCAATCTGATCCTTACATATACAAACTTACCTATTCTAGAAAAAGGCGCCCTTGTGGTGGAGGATCAGAAGACCTAATCTCTAGACCCTATTTTCCCACCAGGAATCAGGGTGACCCACAATTAACTCTCTAGAACTCAGTTTGCCCATCTACAAAATGAGCAGTGTTCACATGGTCCTGTGTCCCTGGGCTATTATTCTGAATATAAGGGAATGTTTTGCTAATAAAAAAGATGCTAAAAAAATACTGGTTGAATGAAGGAAAGAAGGAAAGAATTTAGAAAGTCAAAGCTCACACACACACAAGTTATTCTAATTTATCTCCATTTTCAGATATAGAAGCCACTGATGGTGTTCTCGGAGGCTGGAATAGCATTGGCCTTCATAGCTAACCCCAGAAAATGGAATGGCTTCCTGTTGGAAATGATGAGCTGCGTGCTTCCGCAGGACAAGCCCTTGGGGCAGGTAATCTAAGCATCTTCTGCCACCTGCTGATGGGCTGCCACTTCTGGTACCCAGACTTTGGCCATGAGCCCCTGGACAGACACTGAAGGGGATGCAGAGAGAGAGAGAAAGAACAAGCTGACCACCGAAAACTAATGGCCCTCATGAAATGGAGTGTCTGCAGGGCACAGATGTCAATCTGGGATGGGAGTGGGGAGAGGGAGAGACAGAAGGAAGTAAGAGGAGATGGGGCAGGAGGGAGGAAGAGAGAGAATATGAGAATTCAAGGGACCTGGAAGTTCAGCTGGAAGGACATGCATACTAACACCCAAAGCAAATATCCAAACCTCACCATGAGTAATACAAGGGACCTGGGAAGAAATTCCCTTGGGTGAGGCCACACAAAGCTCAGCTCTTGGGCTGCTGTGCCGTCTCTCACAACTCTAGCCACCGCAGTCAACTCCCAGGGGAAGCATTCTGGTCACCTGAGTTCCTGACTCACAGTCTGACAATGGCTCTTAGCTTTCACACCATCCTGTGTCTGGGAGACTGCCGCTTCTCTCCTTCTCTGCACAGAGTGAGCAAGCTGCTGACATTTCTATGTCAGCCACAGAAGCTGTGATGAGGAGAACAAGGAAATACGTGGAAGAGGACAGATGATTCCCTCACATCTCCACCCAGGGATTTGCGAACAGCATTTCCCCAGGAACATTCTCTAGAGCTCCATCATGGGAGAATCAGTTGCCTGTCCACTGGGTCATAAGCCTTCCTTCTACAGGCTCAGGTAAGTCTATAAGACCCCCAGGCAGACCTCCAGTCCCTTCAGTGGAACCCATCAGGGTTTGTGTGTGTTGTGAGCAACTTGTTCATCGCATGGACTTGGCCTGGGCACAAGCCAGCTCCATTCCAGGACCATGTGACACTGGCAGGGTTACTCACTTGGTTGCCCTCCAGAAGGGGCATCTGGGGACACCTCCCTAGAGTGACTACAGCGTTTATCACTGGGATGACTCAGCCCAAGCCTCCCACTCCCTGAAAAGGGACTCTGAGGCCAGGGCCGGGGGTGGGGGGGGACCGTCGATTAGACCCATCTATGGCTGGGAGAGCACCGGAACTGCCCCTCACCTGGAAAGCACGAAGGATGGGGTGAGTAAAGTTCAGGTCAGTGGCTCAGAAACTCAGAGGGAAACATGAGTTTATCCCAGAAGCGTGGGTGACAGGTGGGACATTGTGTCCAGAACCCCAAGGAAGATCCTACTGAATCTGAAACTTTCATTTCAGATTTCCATTCCTTCCATCTCGCTGATTTCACTCCCATCTTTATCTTGTTTCTGTCACGTCAGTTACTTAACCTTGATTAGAGGAGTTGATAGAACACAGTCTCGGGTGGGTTCTGCCTGGTTTCCCAGCCCATAACAAGTGCTGCTTCCTTCCTCTGAGCAGATTGTATTGTGTCTGTCCAGATTACAGACAAAATACCTGTGTGGTCCCTTCTGTTTCTGTCATTTATGAGTTTAGGTCGCCTCTCGCCAACGTGTTCCTCCAAAGAACTAGCCTCCTCTCAGGGTTCTAATCCCCTGTGGCATTCAGCACTGGGACAAGCACATGGCAGACACTTACTCAACACTTGTTGCTTGGTTGTTCTCAATCTTTAATACCCCAGGGGAAAGGGGTTTCGCAGCCTCACCAGTTGCCAAATCCTAAATCTAAACTCATTTAGAAAGAGGTTGTGATAGCAAAACTAAAGCCTGCATTTTGCATACTGTCTCTTATTCAATTTCAAAACAACTCTGTAGTTTAATTGGTCAATTTCCACCTGCGGGCCTCCTGGTTAGCGCTGTATTGCTCTCCTGATGTCACCACTAAAGCTATTCCTACAGGTTTCCCATAAAAATGACTGTTATTTGTGTAGCACTTAGTCACTTACGAAGTGATTTCCCAGGTATTTTTACTTCGTGCATCGCCCTCTGCGGCTGGCGGTTCAGGTACCTCAAAGGTCTTCAGTCGCGGGGAGCACGCTTGGCTCCCGGCCCCGACGCTGCTCTGGAAGCTACAGCGTGTCCGCGGCGTGGTCTGCCAGCCTGCTCAGCCTCGCCAGCTCCAGCTCCAGCCCTATTTTACCCCACAGGCTTCTGCCCTCAAAAAATGTTGTTGCTCCTATTATCCTGTCTTCACAGCTGCTTCTCAAAGGACCCCCTCTCTCCAGCCTGGCTCTGGGGGCCCCTTCTCTGGGTTTCCAGAGCAATCCAGATCTCTCTCCATCGGAGGACTGACCATACCACCTTGTGCCATCTCCGTGGGTCTCCTCCTGAGACCTGAACCACTAACCTGAATGTAAAGAGATGAAAGCTAGTCGAGTGCTGGAAGTTCTAGTAGGGAGTGGGTCCCTGCACCGGGGAGCTGGCGAAGGTCAAAGGGCTTCCCAGGGGCAGATGCATTCAGCTGTGTCTTGAGGGAACGGCAGAATCCAGGTAAAGAGAATGGTGGCCAGCATCAGAGGCAGAGGGAACGGCATGAGAAAAAATGATGGTCTTTTGGAGCCTAATGAATATCGGTATGGCTGGAATGTAAGTGCAGACACAGCAGCTGGATTGCAAATGCCAAGCTGAATTGTTTTGACTTTATGCTGTACATAACAGTTCTCAAGCCAGTTTTTAAAAAATCAGCCTTCACCCCATGTATAAGCCCGGTGTCATCAAATACATCTTGCCTGTTCTGCAATCATTCTCAGGGTGGGTGGGGTGTTCTCCAAAACCACTCTGAACAGCACTGTTTACTACCCCACCGCTAGCCGTATGTGGCTACATACATTTTTGTCTGAAGTCATTTAAATTTAAAACAAACCGAAGGGGGGCCTGGGTGGCTCTGTCGGCTAAGCGTCTGCCTTCGGCTCAGGTCATGATCCAGAGTCCTGGGATCAAGCCCCGCATCGGACTCCTGGCTCAGTGGGGAGCCTGCTTCTCCCTCTCCCTCTGCCCCTCTCCTCTGCTTGTGCTCTCTCTCTCTCTCTCTCTCTCTCTCTCTCGAGCGCCTGCTCTATCTCAAATAAATAAATAAATAAAATCTTTAAAACAAACAAACAAACTAAAAATTTAGTACCTCAGTCATACTCGGCACATTTCAAGGGCTCAATAGCTACCTGTGGCCCATGGATGCCCCATACAGAACAGCACAGAGGGGAGTCTGGGCAGGGAGGGATACAGGATAAGGAAGGTTGGAAAGCTGGAGGCCAGAGATGTCAGGAGATTGTCACATGGCTGACAGCGGAAGAGCAGGACCTGAAGCCTGAATTTTGTCACTTTTAACCGGAGTGACCGCCTCTAGATTTTTCTCTTCTCCCAACTTCCTGGAGCTGGTTGGCAAGGAGTCTCATCTATGGCCCGATCCTAGCCCAGAGGTGCCGGAGCGGGCGTTCTGTGGATGGTCCAGGTCTATACTGAGATGACATAGGTATGAATCCCATTCTTTGTTTGGTTGATGCAGAATTCGGTGAATCCCATCATCCCCTCCGTGCCTCAATCTCCTCACTGGTAAGTGGAGAGGATGCATTCATTTACACCTACCGCACACAGTATTGAGAAAATCTAGAACTTTCCAAAATCAATTAGCAATATGATTTTTTTTTTTTGTATCGAGAACATTTTTCTTTTTTTCTGTAATTTTAAAATAATACATGGTGGCTGTAAATAGTTTGCGGGAAAAATTGCTGAAAAGAATGTGTAGAGACAAAAGCATTTAGAAAATGATAGTCATTTACTTGCACAAGTGAGTCTAAATTTGAGAACAGTGGTCCTCAACCTTGGTTGTGTATTGGAATTTCTTGGGGAAATTTTAAAGTCTTGGTGCCCTGACACCCCAGACTAATTAAATCAGGATCTCTGGGGATGGAACCTACACATGAATCGTTTTTAAAACTTCCCCATGTGATTCTGATGTGCAATGATTGAGAACTATAGTTCTAGGATAGTTCACCGGGTTAAAGAATATATACTCCAGGTATGTAAAGAAAAGACACAGATTACAGGTTGTCCGCTCACACTGGGAAAAGAGCCATTTTAACAAATGGCTAGCACATGGCAAAGTCACACACAGATATCAGCCATTGGAAAGGTCAAGGTGGAAGAGGACTTTGGCTGCCTCCATTTTGACCTCAAACATTTTAGTTGGGTTCTTGTTTCCAGCTTGTCCCTTGGCTCAGGTGGAAGACCCTGTGGGCAAAGCATCCCCAGATGGGAACCAAAACTCTGCCCTCCAGCTGCCAGGAACGCCCTGAGCCAGCAAGACCCTGCCCGCCTGTGACGGACTCTGCCCATGATTGATTGAACCTTCACTGCCTCCCTGCAGGTACGCACCTACTTTTGCCCCATGTTTTCCTAGTATACCTGGAAATATTTTCTGCATTTTGGAGACAATCTGCGAGGGTAGTCCACTGTTTTCCCAGTGTTGGCCTCACTGAAGTAAATCCCTTTCTTGTTTCACTACCGTTTGTTTTTCTGCCTTTGGGTTTTATCAGCGGCAAGTGACCAGACCTGGCCAGTTTGGGACCCTGGAGTCAGGTGTTCTTGCATCCTTTGTATCCCTGAGCACCAGCTACTGTTGGTAGATGATGCTGTTCGGTAAGGAATTTGGAACTTACGGCAACTGGCCTAACTAAGATCTCCTTTATTTGGGGGACTTCATGGGGACAGGGTAACCCTCCTAGTGCTTATTGTTGTTTGCTTTCCTCCTGCCTGTCTTGTTAAGGGTGATATACACACTTATAAAGCAGGGCAAGAGGTCAGTTTTGTGTTCTCATAAGGAATTATGTAAAGTACATATATAATGTCCCTCTCAACCTCAAGCCCACTCCCAAGAGTTAACCACTGAATATTGTAGAAGTAATACCTGTGCTTATACAAATCACACACACACACACACACACACACACACTGCACATCTTGGGACTTCTACTAAGTAATTTATCATGGATACTCTTCCATAGCAAGGCCTCAAATTTCTCTCATTTTCTAATAGATATGTATTGTTTCCTAGTTCCAGCATATAATGAATTTTTTGGATATTCCCCAATTGGTAGTAAGTTTTGCCCTCACCTTTTTCTATTTTACATTATCATGCAATAAACTTACTTGTATGTTTCTCTTTAGCTTTTGCACAAATGTGGTTAGAGGATAAAGCCCTAAAGGTGTGATTGCTTAGGTTTGCCAAATTGCCCTCCAAAAAGGCTACAGCGATTTACATTTTCTTCCGATAATGCAAAGAAGTGACCAGCTCCCCACATCCTTCTCAACACTGGTCTTCATTTTTTTTAGAGGCTCACCTAATGGATATTTATTTATTTATTATTTTTTTTAAAACATCTTTTTTTTTTTAAGATTTTATTTATTTATTTGACAGAGAGAGAATGAGAGAGAGAGAGCACATGAGAGGGGGGAGGGTCAGAGGGAGAGGCAGACTCCCTGCCGAGCAGGGAGCCCGATGCGGGACTCGATCCAGAGACTCCAGGATCATGACCTGAGCCGAAGGCAGTCGCTTAACCAACTGAGCCACCCAGGCGCCCCCACCTAATGGATATTTAAAAGTGCTTTGCAAATGATTAAATGCTATGCAAATGCCAGGTCTTATGACTAGTAACCTTTTCTGAAAGGCCCCACATTAAAAGTAGCTGTTCAAGCCCCTGATGGGGCAGTACGCTCCAGAGGGTTTTATTCTATATCCTGTCATTTTCTGGAAATAATGTTTTTGGGTTTGGATCCTATTTTCTTAGGCCTAAATGTCAGTCTTCCAGGGTGATAGGGGTGGTAAATAATGAGTGAGAGGGACCCTCAGGCAAAGGCAGCAATCATTACTCTCAGAGCTTTTTTTTTTTTTTTTAAGATTTTATTTATTTATTTAATTGACACAGAGAGAGAGAGACAGCGAGAGAGGGAACACAAGCAGGGGGAGTGGGAGAGGGAGAAGCAGGCTTCCCGCCGAGCAGGGAGCCCGATGCGGGGCTCGATCCCAGAGTCCTGGGACCATGACCTGAGCCGAAGGCAGACGCTTAACTGACTGAGCCACCCAGGCGCCCCTACTCTCAGAGCTTTTCTGCCCAATAATTGAATACCAATGCAGACAGGCCCCTGGTGCCAACCAAAATTTTATTGAGCCACCCTAGCAGGGAGTAATTTGTGAGGGCCTCTCCTCCGCTGTCTTCAAAATCTTTATTCCATCTATTTTCTCTCTTCTCATTTTTACCCATTATTTGGGGTGCTGTGAACTGGAGGCCTTCGCGTTTACCAACTCACTGTTTTTAAAGAGGCTTAACCCGGTGGACTGAAGGAAGTGTCTCCTGTTGACTTCAGCTGGAAAAGAAAGGAAGTCTGACTCTAAGCTTCTTTTTCTCTACTACGGGATCCATTCATCCCAACACCACCACCTGGTGAACTCCTAACTCTCCTTCAAGAACCAGAGGACCACCTTTCAAGTCCGTTCTTTTGTAGAGCCTTGCCTGACTATTACAAGGTTCATCACTCCTGCCTCTGCCTTCCATAAATTTCATTTATACCTCCAGGCTATTACGTATAGCCCAGTCATTTCCTCTTGTGCAGCCTTCCCCGCCTCCGTTCCCCAATTAAGAATTCCTCAGCTGGACCTGAGTCTTATTTATCTTTGTATCTCTAGCTGGTAGTACCTGGCAAGTTTTTCGAATGGACATTTCCTCATTTTTGAATCCCTGCCTGGGTTGGACATAACAAAACAAATAATAACAGGTGACATAAACGCTAGTGCTCTCCAAATATTCTACAAGCTCCCCCATATTTCCCAGCCTCCCTTGCATTTGTGACGGGGTCACGTGACTGATTCTGGTTCATGGGAGTGAGTGTGAGTGAAGCAATGTGTGATATTTGCTGTCTGGGGCAGTAAAAAGGGGACATGAGCTCCATGCAGGCTCTCTCTCCTGCCACTATGGCTGGAAGCAAAGAACCCAGAGACAGCAAAGTTGTAAGCTAGAAGCAACTCAAATCTGACCACTGTTAAAAAGTAGCCACCAAGGGGCGCCTGGGTGGCTCAGTCGCTTAAGCCGCTGCCTTCGGCTCAGGTCATGATCCCAGGGTCCTGGGATGGAGCCCCACGACGGGCTCCTTGCTTGGCGGGGAGCCTGCTTCTCCCTCTGCCTGCCTCTCCCCCTGCTTGTGTTCTGTCTCTCTCTCTGACAAATAAGTAAAAATAAAATCTTAAAAAAAAAAAAAAAAGTAGCCACCAAGCAAAGCAGAATGGCCTATATCAGACTGTAGTGTAAGTGAGGAATAAACCTTAGGGATCTGAAGGTTTGTTGCCACAGCAAAACTTAGCTTACCCTGACTAATGCAGCGTATGAGTTTCATGTGAAATTGTAGGTAGGAGAGAAGCTCTTAGAATAGATGCTATCATTTGATAGTGAAACCTTTTCATAACCTAGAACAAGTAAGGATTTGTGCCATGGATTTGATGATTGCAAATACAAGTCATTTTCTGGGAGAACATAAGCATCCCCATTATATTGATGGAGAATCCAAGGCACAGAGAAGTGAAGGGATTGGCTTCTGGAATTATAAGTGAAATTAGCATGAGAACACAGACCTCAGTTTCATCTAAGCTATTTCTGATCCCTCTTCCTGGATGGAATTTCCTCTCCCCCAATATTTGTGTCCTCTGGGGTTAGTATTCTAGGAATAAGATCAGCCTGTTTAGAAATGGGACAGACTTTGCATGTCTAATGCTAATTCCACTTAAGAATATCTGTTTTGCAAATAATGCAATATATGTTACGAAAAAAAAAAGAAGAAGAAGAAGGTAGCGGGAGGGGAAGAATGAAGCGGGGGAAATCGGAGGGGTGGACAAACCATGAGAGACAATGGACTCTGAAAAACAAACTGAGGGTTATAGGGGGGGGGGGGGGGGGGGGGATGGGTTAGCCTGGTGGTGGGTATTGAGGAGGGCACATTCTGCATGGAGCACTGGGTGTTATATGCAAACAATGAATCATGGAACACTTCATCTAAAACTAATGATGTAATGTATGGGGATTAACATAAGAATAAAAAATTTTAAAAAAAAGAATATCTGTTTTGAAGCAACATGGTGGTAAAAAGGTTAATACTTAAAGTTTGAATTTTATTTTCAGGCAGACATTCTGAGCCCTGGAGGAAAGATTGCAGCTGCCCTGTGGCCCAGATAATGCAATATCAGGGTGAGCAAGGACATCTTAGAACATTCTGATCTCCTCCCCTGAGACCAATTAAAATCTGTAGGCATCTTTCTTGTTGACCAGACTGACTTACTAATTGAAACAAAACTGTGATATTTTCATCAGCTTTCTCTTATCCCTCTCTGCCTTGCCAGAAGAGAGAAAGTTTGATGACCATAGGTCTTCAAGCATATGAGGCCCAGGGAACAGATCTACTCTCACCTTAAACCGCTATACCACCATTATACATTGAACAAGATCCTAACAAGGATGGTGCAAGATTGAGAGTGTGGTAATATCCCCAAACCTTGGATAAGGAGAAGCTGAACACCAAAACATCACCTTCAAGATCCCTGATAAACAATAAATCTGTCATTTAGCAGCTACTGTTCCAATAAACCAGCTTGTGACCTCAGCCTTCCTAATTAACTAGCCCTCTGCCTGACTGGGAAAGCTTCTAGTAACAAAGGACAAAATGCTTGCTAAAATCCAACAATATCTCTTTCCTAACAAGCAAGAAGGTATTTCTTCTGAACGTGCAAATGGCCTAGTTAACCTTAGAGATTATTCCAAGCAGCATCCAAGCCTCTAAAAATGGGCTACATAGTTTCGATTGTGTGAGATTTTTTCTGCTCCAGTATGATGATCTCCATGCTAGCAACCTCTGTGGAATCACTTCTTTATTATGTGAATGGCCTCAGAAGTTAGCCATTTGGGGCAGTATTGATTCCAGCAGTGAGGAAGCTTTGGTTGACAATTATCAAGGGAGAAAAAAAAAAAAAAAAAAAACCCTCTGTGACAAAGATTTCAGCCTTAGGACCTATTTCTGAGTTTTCTAAATGGAAATATGAGGCAGGGGCATGGTTGGGAAAAGTTATTTTAGCTTTGATGTTGCCTCTTTACCACAATGGTAGGGAGAAGTAACTATATCAAAATAAAGACTGTAGGGCAGGAAAACATTTATTTTACCCTCCAGGCTTCTTCCAGCTGGTTTAGGAATTAAATTGACATGAGTCAGATTAACAGGAAAAAATGAAAGTTTTATTACATGTGCACAAAGGCCATACAATGAAATTGAGACCCAAAGAAATTATCAAAGCAGACCGTTTTTATACATTTTAGAGAGAGAGAGAGAGAGATAATAAATTTATGAGGAATTGACAGATGTTTGAGAGCTTTATTAGTAAGGAATTCTAAACAGAATTTGAGCTGAAATAATAGATTAGTAAAAAGTATCAAGGTTTGTTTCTACAGCTTTCTCAGCTTTAAAGTTTCTATCTCTGCCAATAAGGATGTCTTTTTACTTTTTGGTACAGGGTGGGTATCTTTCATGTGGGAGATTTGTTTCCTGCTTTCAGGGGGCAGAGGAGGGTCTGGGTGTTCTTGCATCAGCCATTTCCCACATAGCTTCAATTCAAAATAATCAATATGCCATGGTGGCACATTTTGGGATAGCTTGTCCTGGTCCCCTACAGGGCCATGGAGAAAGGACAGAGATGAAGAGGGTAAGGGTACCTAAAGTTCTCACAGGGAGCCGAGTTGGAGCTACCTAGACATGAGATCTCCTACACAGGCTCAGAGACCGTCATGATGATCCAACCCAGCTTCATAGTTTAAGAGCCTGAAATTTTTTATCTGGAATCTGTTCCTCATTGCGTCACTGGATTACCAGGTGACCTTGAGATACTAAACTAGCTTCTCCAGGTCTCAGCTTAGGAAAGGAGTATGGGCAAATTTATCATAAGTTGGTGGCAAGAGGGACATGAGAGTCAGAGTATTTCTTCTTATGGGTGGTAAAAAGATTCAGGTCCTACATCCTCTCTCTGCATAGGCTTGTTTGGGCTTATTCATAAACATCTTGCCTTAACCATCCTTCAGGTCTTCTGTGGCAACAAATCCCTTTTGGTGATGAAGAACTGAATGTTTTCCCTTAAATTTGAGAATAAGCCAAAAATGCCTGCTCTCATCACTTCTATTCAACATTGTACTGGAGGTCTTAGCCAATTTAATAAGGGGAGAAAAATAAATAAAAACATACAGTGAAATAAAGAAGAAAAAAATTCACTTGTATTGCAGACAACCTAATATCTATACAGATAATCACAAAGAATCCAACATATATGATCATCGATCTTCAACAAGGTGCAAATTGACAATTTTTATAACAAATGATGCTGGAACACTTGAATATCTATATATGAAAATAATAAACCTTGACCTTTACCCCAATAATATACAAAAATTAACTCAAAATGGATCACAGGCCTAAATCTAATGTTGAAGCTATAAAAATTCTAGAGGAAATAGAGGAGAAAATCTTTGTGTACTTGAATTAGTCAGATTTATTAAATAGGATATATCAAATAATTATTGGGAACACACTATAAAACACTGATAAATTGAACTTTGTCAAAATCAAACACTTTTGCTTTTCAACAACACTGTTAATAAAATGAAAAGGCAACCAACAGACTGAGAAAAATATTTGCAAAACATGCATCTAATTTAAATCTGGTATCCAGAATATATAAAGAACTCTTACAATTCAATAATAAAATGACAACCCAATTAAAAAGTTGGCAAAAGATTTGAACAGACACTTCACCAAAGAAGATATACTAATGGCAAAGTACATGAAAATTCACATCACTATTATTTTTTAAGGAAATGTGAATTAAATCCACAATGAGATACCACTTAATTCTCATTAGAATAGCCAAAATTAAGTGTTGATGAGGATGTGGAAGAACTGGAACTCTCTTTGCTGGTGGGAATGCAAATGGCACAGCCATTTGGAGAAATAATTTGTTTCTTATAAAGTTAAATATACACCTATCATACTACAATTCTACTTCTAGATATTTACCTAAAAGTCATGAAAACCTATGTTCACTAAAAGATTCTTGTGTAGGGGCACCTGGGTGGCTCAGTCGTTAAGCGTCTGCCTTCGGCTCAGGTCATGATCCCAGGGTCCTGGGATCGAGCCCCACATCGGGCTCCCTGCTCAGCGGGAAGCCTGCTTCTCTCTCCCACTCCCCCGGCTTGTGTTCCCTCTCTCGCTGTGTTTCTCCCTGTCAAATAAATAAATAAAATCTTAAAAAAAAAAAAAAAAAAAAAGATTCTTGTGTGAATGGACATGGCAGCATTATTTAAAATACCCAGAACTGTGAAGAATCCAAATAACCATCAACTGGTGAATATTTATACAAACTGGTATATCCACACAATGGAATACATCTTAGCATAAGAATGTAACAAACTACTGATGGATACAACAACCTGGATGGATTTTAAAGGAACTGATGCTAAGTGAAAGAAAGCAGTCACAAAGATTACATACTATACGATTTCATTTACATGAAATTCTAAAAAAAGTGTAGTGATAAGAAAGAGGTTTATCTGTGGTTGCCAGGAATTTAGGTAATTGTATTGACTGCGAAGGGACATGACAGTTCTCTTTGGGATGATGAAAATGGATGTTTATGATGCTTTCATAATTGTATACATTTGTTAAATCTCACTGAATTGTGCACTTCAAATTGGTAAATTGTATATAGATTATGCCTCAAAGCTGATTTTATAATATATACACGTATATGTTAAATAATAATATATAACTATATATTATTTTAAATGACCATATTTAGTGTAAAAAGGTTATAGATCATCATTGACAGGAGATAAAAATTCTTAGCAAGAGACGGGATTCTAGTTTCTCCTTATGTCCCTGATGTTCTTCCTTCTACCTCTCTGGGATGGTAAGAGGGTGAAAGACACAGTCTGTTTAAGGAACACCAGACTCTTCCAAACTAAGTCCTCTATAATACAAGCTGTCATTATTATTGAATGGATCTACAGATGGACCTAAACCCTGTGCCCTCGGGCAAGGAATCTGGAGGCATTGCCGCCAACTCAAACAGTTTATCAAAATATTTTCCTGTTGAGAAATCAAGCAGTCAATCTTCAGGATCCCTGGCTGGCGAGGAATCATTTTGGCTAAAGCACTCCAGTGTTTCTGCTGAAGCAAAAGCCCATGGGCTTACTAACAACAATGATGCAACAAAACTTGTATTGCAGGGTAGAAGGGCAAGAAAAGGGGGCACTTTCTTCTGCCATGGATCTGTTTACTTTGCATTTGTTGAATCAAATAATTATTGGGAACATAGTACGTGCCTAATACTGTGAGAGTCACCAAAGAAAGAGAGCAGGGAACAGACTCTTCTTGGTCTCTATGACATGTTACACCTTCGAAGTGTGTACATTTATACCCTTTAATTCTTATAGATTGATAACTTCCCATACATATATCAGAAAGTAAGAAAGAATGAAAATAAATAAGTATACAACTCAAGAAGTTAGAAAAAGAATAAACAAAATACCCCGAAGGAAACAATAGGGAAGAATTTGTAAAAGACAAAAGCAGAAATTAATGAGTTAGAAAAAAAAAAAAAAAAAAAAAACAGAAAAATAGTAGGACCAACAAACAGATTCAAAAGCTGGATCTTAGGAAAAAATAAACAAACAATAAACCAAAAAGCAAAAGCAAAAACTAGATCGATTACTAGATTGCCTAATCAAGAAAAAAGTTGGAGAGCTTATAAAAACAATAAAAAACTAGTTTGTGGGAAATAATTCAGGAACTGAAGAAAACAAAAGAATCACAAAAGACTCCTTCTCTCAGTTCCAAGTAAATAAATTCAAATTTGAAAACTTCTAAATTCATAATAAAAAGTAAATACAACATTGGTAACAAAAACCAACAGTACACAAAAAAAGATAACATTTATTAATGTAGACACTTACTCATTTAGATGCAAAAATCCCAAATAAATTGTCAGCAACAACAAAAACAAATTAGTGGGGCATTAAGAATCATACATACACCATAAGCAAGTGGGATATACTCCAGGAAATGAAACTATTCTGGGATACTTTAATATTGGGAAATATATTAAGAAAATTTATCTTAATCATACATTGAAAGAGAAAATCAAATAATCATCTCAGATGTTGAAAAGATATTTGACATTACTCAAATAATTGAACTGATAAAAGGCACTCAAGATAAGAAT